GAATTTTCCTCCTAGTTACAAACGTACACATAACAGGATATCTGCCTATATATCCCCATTACAATACTGAATTATTACCTTATACTGCAAGCAAAAGTAGGATGTATTTTGCTTGCAGAATTATTCCAGTTATTTTTAAACCTAGACAGATAAAACACAATTTGAGTGGACTGTTTATTTTTTGTGAAGAGTGTTACACTAATACAATTTCAATTCTGAAACAAGTATCTTTCAGGATTTGCTTAAGCCAAACTGCAATCACATTCTGTTACTGAAAGGTTCCTGCTAACTCCTAATCTTTGGGCTGCACTTAACAATTATCAAATCTGCAGGAGCTTGCTGATCCATCTGAAAACTAATTTTGGGAAGGAAACCCCAAACCCAAAACACCCAGCAACATAGGAAAAAAACCACCACAACAACCCACATACCCTAGATTGGTTCATGTATCCAGTTGGAAACTATCTTACCCATTCTGCAACCACAGGCTAGAACCAATACAACTAAGAGCCTGGGGGAAAATTTGCTTGAGGCATGATCTTAATTTAGGCTAAATCAATCATGACCTAGAGGATATTATATGCCTAACAGCAGACCCAATTCTCATTCACAAACTGCTCCTGCCAGAGCAGTACAAATGAATTTTAAAGTGGATGCAAATGGACCAGGTATGTTTAAAACATACTCTTGGCATGGATCCTCAGTTGGAGTAAACTGCCATTGACTTCAAAGGAACTACAGATCTACCCTTTGGACGTATTTTTGGAGACTATTACTTTAGGCAATGAAAAAAGGAAGGCTCCTAAGTAGTTTAAAACATACAGCAATTAATTTCTTTCCTTCAAAACATCACAGACTATGTGTGGGATACTGAAATGAATTTGGGGCTTACATATACTCAAAGGATTTATTGAGAGTGATCGACATAACTACGAAAACCAGAAGATACAAATATAAATAAAGAGAAAAGTGAATATAAAACAAAAATACTTTTTTGTGAACTTTCAGATTTTTTTCAGAATAACCTAGTTTATTATTGTTCCCATTTATGGGATAAATTCTTCAATGTCCTTCAAGAGATACTCATTTCAAAGATATTTCTGCTCAGAAAAAATGAATGTGTTAATTCCTCTGCTCTAACATAAAACTAGAAGTCATATTGCTGTACATCATTCTTCTACACATAAAAAATCTCTGTATGTGAAAATCTGAGTAAGGAGATCATGAAATTGCAAGCTTTTGCACCATCTATCTTACATCGCTATCATTTAACACTTACCTGTTTTTCTATCTCAGTTGCTGCACTTCAGTGATCATAAGATCAACTTTGAGCTTGCCTTATAATCTCTTGTTTTTCTACTGAGTCACTTGTGCTTGTTCCACCATTGGGTTCACCTTAAGAGGAAGTTTTCCGTTTTTCTTTCTCACATACAAATTTCCCTCAAAAAGTAATGTATGCACAAGAGGAAAGAACTGGATTGGCACAGAAGGCCACTTATCCCAGAAAACCAGGACAGGGAATCCCAGAACACTTTGCACTCCAGTTTTCACAGAGGCAAACCCCTCCATGGACAGGTTAGCTCTCAGCATGAGCAGGTCAACTAGAAAAGTGGACAAGGAAAGAAAAAAACTCCCAGTATAGCTCCTGAGTCCTTAATCTTTCATCCATAAAGTACCTTGTGTCATCACAATATTTTCTAGTAGTAGGTACGTACAAGAGTCATATATTATGAGCCATCACTAACACCCACATGTGTGAAGAACTGGCATTTGATTATTTACAAAGCCACATTAAAAGAAGATAAGGAATCCTCATAGCTTTCCTTCTTCACATAAACAAGTGTTGTAGTTGCCACAGAGAGATATTACAAGTCTTTATTGGAAAGAGACAGGCTTCTATTAAAATAATCTGTTTTATGAAAAGGTTTGAAAAATCCTTTAGAGAATCGCATCATAAGTCAAAATTTAAAGTTTTGAGGCTGGGGGGAAGCCGGGGTTTGATCTGGCCTGAAAAATGTGACTGGTGAACTCTTACAAACTGATGTTATCGCATGCAAATTGGATTAGAAGATTCACGCCTCTAATGAAATAAATTAACGGTAACACTATTAGTGAGATGGTAGAAGGTAGGTAGTCTAGAAATAGACAGCAATACCACTTTGTTTTTATTCTGTAGGAGAAGAAAGTAGCAGTGTAAGATGCACTTTGTCTAAGAACACTAGTTAGTTCCTGGCTCTCTAATTACATAGATCAAATTTACTGTCTATATATCAAATCAGAATTAAACAGTAGACAGGAACCTAGCTGTTCAAGGTATGCTAATTCTGCACACCTACAAAGGTAAAACCCAAATGATGTTCACATCCTAACAATACTGACATCCAGAAGTATTAGACTACCTAAAATTAGAGGAAAATGATGAGTACAAATCTGGGATCATAATTTTGACTGTTAGGTCTGGTTTATGTGCTCAGGTATGATTTGTTTAGACTTGGTGTTATTTACCAGGCACTTCTGAATTCTCATTAAGACTCTGCCATACCCTTTCACCAGATGAGGACAAGTACACAACATCTTTAATTCAGTTTCTGTATTTGCAACATGAAGATGACATATCTCTAGGGTAAAAGGCTTTGTAAGATGCTTTCAAGAGTACAAACTTTGTCTACTCTCATCTTTATCATGAAGGAATCTCAAGTTAGACTGAGACTGACCCATGCAAGCCATAATTAAGCCTACACTGATTTCTTTCAACATGCCACTGAAAACTATAAAATAAGAGCACAGTAGTTCACATCTTATTTCTTTTGCTTTTACAACTGAAATATTTATCCAGGTCAACACCTTCTCTTACCCAACCTTTAACACACTGAAGAATTGGAAAAAGGATTACTGATGTAGCTCAAGTCTATACATGAAAGTAAGTGAAGCTGCTATTTTATACTAGCTTAGGATTTTGCCTTCTTCCATGAGAAAGAGTAATTCTACACTTTTCCCACCTCTCCATACAGTCTACAGTGAGATAATACGAAGGTGGGAAGGAAAAGGTCAATTGAAAGTCTGCTCTTCTGTCCCAATTGTGAGGTCCATTTAGCAAGAATATTTTTCAGTAAAATATCTACCTCACATACTAACTTTGCAAATTCCATTCCCTTGGAGTCTACTGGGCACGTAAGAATAGAGCTGGGACAGGGATTTTATGGAACGGTCCTGAGAGATGGAGTAAACCAGACATTCCCAGACCAGCCAGAGCATGCAACAAACAGAAAATACTTTCATTTCAAGAAGCCTTTTGAAAAATGTGATGTAAAAAGTACCCCATGCACAGGAACTCAGACCTGACAAGGTAAAAGACCTTCTATCAATTGATCAATGGAGTTTTAGAGTTTCAAAGTCAGAAATCACATTTTTGTGCATGCTTACACAAAAGAGCCCAGGCCAACTGAAGGTACAAAAGAGTAACAGCTTGTTACCATTACTTTTATAAGTTCCACATCAGGTAGAACTGATCTTCTTCACATCAGTTGCTGTCAGACTTCCATTTAGTTCATTAAAATATCTTGTTTGGTCAGTTCTACCACTATAATTTATTTTAAACATAGTGAAACCTTAACTAAAGAGGCAACCTGACATTAAGCAGCCACTTAAAAGCCTTTCCAGATTACCACTCCACTCTTTGTGGTGAGGGTTTGGGCACAGTAAAGTTTTGAGCCAGATTCCACTTTCCCTTCGTTTCTCAGATCACTTCAATGTAAACTCCAAATTCAGGCAGCACCACCACAGACATGCTACCGTCAGTGAAACCAGCCAAAACATGTCCTCTAGTTTGAGGTGGTCTTTTCAGCTAAGGTTGGGAAATGGCCCAAAATTGTGATCACTGTTCTGGTTTTTAAACCCCACTTCAAAGTCAAAAAGCTGATTTTCCTCTCTTGCTGCTTAAGGCAAATTTAACTGGATACACATATGGCGTAAGTGCCAAACCCATTTAGAGTTGGGAGGAACTTGCAAAACGTACAGGGGCAGATTCTGTTGTTCTTACTCACTTTAAACAGCTCCAGCTAAACTAATGGGACTTCTCAACACAATTAAGAAAAGTAGGACCCAATCCAAAAAGAATATGCACATTTCATAGTTGAAAAACATACTTGCCCTGAGTGCAGTGGTAATCTGGGGAGCCTTTCAAGTGGCCATTTAATGGACAGTTATATACATGAAAAAGCAGCAGGACAATCTGGACAATCTTATTTCAGGACTTTTTTTAAACAGCAACCATGTGCTAGACTAAATTTTATTAGCTATCCAAAATGTTTGTTAGTTGGGGGAGGAATCTTCAGGTCAAGATGTTCTGGGGAATCAAACTGTAAGTATTAATCTAATGGAAAACTGCACACTTTACTATTAGGTTAACACAAAATATTCGACTGTAACATACAGGTAGCGTTCACCAGCTCTGTTTTTCACGGGCAGGAATTTCAGCAAGACAGAGCGCGAGGTTCTCCCAAAGAAGATTCAGAATCATAGAATGATGTCACTTTGTCCTTTATACCCACATGCATACATATTTATAAATACACCGAGGACTACGGATTAACGATCTTCTTAAAACATCCAGCAAAACCACGATTTGAATCAAGAGCCCGAAGGGCGAAGGAGAAAAGGGCTTTTTTTTTTTTTTTTTCCCCCCAGATGCAAGCCACAAGCCAGTAACTGCAAATCCACCCCGCGGGAGGAGCAGGGCAGGTGCCTCAGGGCACTGCCCGGGACTCGCCGCTCCTGCCACCGCCCCTGAGGGGGGCCACGCCCCGCGCGGACCCCCCTGCCCGGCAGCCTCTCCTCCCTCCCCACCCTCTCCTCCTCCATCACTTCCTCTCCCCCCTGCCGGCTGGCCCCTTTCCCCCTCACCTCAGACCCTTTTCCTCCCCCTCGGTACGTCCCCAGCCCGCCCCGCCTCGCCCTCCCGCTTCTCCTCCCCCCTCGCCGCCTCGCCCCGCGGCTCTCACCCTCCCGGGCTTTCAGCAGCACCGTGTTGGCCACGATGTTCTCGATTTCCATGGTCGGGGGCTCCTTCCCCTCAGGGCAGCCGGAGTGGAGGCCGCCCCTACTGCCTCCTTCGCCCCCTCCTCCAGCCCCGCCACCGCCGCGACGCCAAGCCTCCGCTCATCCGGCCCCGCAGGACCTCAGCGCTGCGCTCGCCTCTTCCCCATCACCCGCTGCTCGCCCCGGCACCGGCCTCCCCCTCCCCGAGGGCGGAGGCAAGGAGCAGGCAGCGACCGCCCGCCCCGACCATGGCTCGACCGCCCTCCTCCGCCCGCCTCAGCCAGCCCCGCCTCTGCGCTCCCGTGCCACCGCCCCCTCCCCGTTCCCGGGGACTACAACTCCCAGCAGGCAGAGCGCGGCGTGCACCGGGGAGACGCCAGCGCTGCCCGCGCGAGGCCTGCTGGGAGTTGTAGTGCGCGACACCTTTCCCGGCCTCCTCCCCGGCTCGTCCCAAAGCGGGAGGGGAAGGGGAGCGGAGAATCTCGCGATCGTTGGCCGAAGCTCTCGCGAGAGGTGCGAGGCTGCCGAAACGCGTCTGGTAGCGCCGGGGCACGCCGGTTTGGGGGGAGCGGCGTTACCGCTCCGCTCCCTCCTCTGCTCCGCTCCGCGTCCCCCCCCGCCGGCTCTCACGGGGTTCGGGGGCAGCTCTCGGGCGACTTGGCACCGGTCGGAGGGCAGTGGTCAGGCCCGAGGGGTACTTCGGGCGGGCTTGCCCCCCTCCCTGGGCGCCATTTTGTTCGCCCCGTTTGCACCTCCAGCCCTGGCCCCCGCACGCTGAGTGAGTACTGAGCCTCTCCGTCCCCACACGCGTCCTCGCAGGCAGCCAAATCAAAAATGGGGAAGGCAGCTAAGCAGAAGCGAAAGGTCTCGGTGCCCTCCGCAGCCAAGGGCCCTGTGAAGTTAGCCATGGCCATGGTCAAGAGCAACCCCTTTGAGGTGAAGGTCAACAGGCAGAAGTTTAACATCTTGGGGAGGAAGACCAAGAATGATGTGGGTCTGCCTGGTGTCTCACGGTCCAAGGCCATCAAGAAGGTAAGAGGACATTCGGAGTTCGGAGGAAGGATGGCATCTGTAGATGTAGTTGTGGTAGAGAGGTGGTAAGCATGGAGCCATCTCAGGTGAGAGAGGAGGCTACTTCCATCGCGCACAGGAGGAGTGGCTGGTCACCTCGCATTGCTCAGATGATGATGAAAAGCCTGCTGAAAATGTTTCCCTCTATTGCAATGCACAGGGTTCAGTAGTGCAAGTCTCCTTTATCACATGTGTGAGAATATTGCCTTTTCAAATTACCCAGGTCCGGAATACAACGGCACATGTTGTCAGAAAGCAAATACTGGACCAGAGTGCAGGTGGTTACAAGTGTTCATTATGTTGGTCAGTTTTGGTTGCTGCAGGATGTTAAGCTTCTTGATAATCGTGCAACGTTGCTGTAATAGTGGAAGCTTGAACAGGCACTCAGGTCTGAATGCAGTGAGAAATGTGTAGATACAAAGAAACTACCATTGATTTGGAAAACATGCAGATGGCTTTTTGTGCACTGGTTAAGTAGTTACATTGTAGAAGTATGTTGGGATGCAAAATAATGATCCGTCCTCATTGCTCTCATAAGAATGACCATACAACTTAAGGAGAGTAAATCTTTCTATCCTTATACTGTTTTAAAGTTGCCTCTTTTTCTTTCTCTACTAACATCACTAGCTACCTGACCAAAACCTGTAATGCATAAGGGAGAACATTGTGGTGTTCTGTGCACCTGGGATTCCAGCAACCTACCCTATCCTTGAATGAAGCACTGGAATTTTTTATGATCTGTCCCTTCAAACAAAACAGGAAACAAGTTAAAACCTCTAGATTCTGCTAAAGCTGAGAAAAGCATAATTTGAAAGTTTATCCCTGAGATTCTCTCTGACATGTTACATACAATCTGTTGTCAAACAGAATTCAAAGCACTTACTGAAAAGAGAAGTTCTTTTTAAAAATAGTGCAGCAAAAGGAAATGGGTAGTTTATCATTTTGCATGCATTGTGAGAGGTGATGCATTACATATGTTTTTATCAGTAAAAGTAATCAATGAGAGAGGACATCAAATAATTGATAAACAAAAGTACTTTTCCATATCCAAGTTATTAAGAGATATTAAAGTTCATGCACAGTGTTTAAGCTGCATGATAATTTATATGTTCTGTGCAAGAAGTAAATACAAGGTAGAACTGGCACAGTAGTAGATTAAAATTAAGCCTGAGTTCTGGTGTTGGTTACAGCGGCATCTGAAAGCTGTGAATGCTCAAGTGAGGCTGCAGAGACCTCTTGTAGGAAACTCAGCCTTCTCCTTCAGTGCAGCAGTCTGTGAGTTCATGGTAATATGAATAGCAACAGTACCTTTCCGTAAGAATCAGTTAACATGTTTTAATAAACATGGATTTTTTTCAGTCTAAACATAGCCAGCATGTTCTTTCTTTAGAAACTATATAATATCTTCAGCGTGAAATTATAAATTAGCTTTCAGTCTTCATTACTGTTTGTCCAGATTTTAGAAAACTTTATGAATGTTTAATATCACATTTTAAGGTCTTTGAGTTTTACTTAATAGTAGGGTAAATCAAATGCTTATCATTAATTAGTTCACTGGCACTGAAAAGTAAACCTGTCTCCTTACCTGTACCATAAGCACAGCACATACTACCTCATATAGGTCTGCTAAACTTCTTTTTACTGCTTTGATGCATAGTCTCCCTGTGCTCAACACTAAAGCAGAGAGTTAAATACATGTACCCACTTGGAGTGGTTTTTAGGTCTTAGGTGACAAGACCAAAAGAGGTTCAGCTGACATTGGGGCTTTTTTGCTTTCTTTAATATGTTATTCTTGTATACTAAGCTTCAGACAAATTGGAATTCTTCAGTGGCAATGCAGAGTTTTTATATGTGATAAAATAAAGGTGGGATACAGTGTATCATATTTTATCTTCATATGGGCAGCTTGTAAGAGAACTTAATGACTCTGAATATGTTGTATGAGCTTCCCATCTCTTTTCTCGTTTCCCTTCTCTTTCATTTTGTTCTGATAAATTAGATTATGTTGCCAGGATACCATGGAGCCTTTTTTGCCTTGGCTTTTAAAGTAGTTGTTATCGTTGGTTTTTAATTTGATCTTTTTTTTTTTTTTTCTTCTAGCGTACCCAAACATTACTGAAGGAATATAAAGAAAGGGAAAAGACAAATGTGTTTAAAGATAAACGTTTTGGTGAATATAACGCCAAAATAAGTCCAGAGGAAAAGATGATCAGACGATTCACTTTGGAAAGACAGGTAAAGTATAGGAATTTAAAACAAACAAACAAAAAAAACCCAAACCACAAGAAACACTTGACTTTTTAGGTTGGGAGTGTCCACCTTAACAGAGGTGTCATGGCTTAACCCCAGCTGGCAGCTAAGCACCACATGGCCACTCGCTCACTCCCCTCACAGTGGGATGGGGGAGAGAATCAGAAGGGTAAAAGTGGGAAAACTCGTGGGTTGAGATGAAGACAGTTTAGTAGGTAAAGCAAAAGCCACACACGCAAGCAAAGCAAAACAAGGAATTAATTCACCACTTCCCATCGGCAGGCAGGTGTTCAGCCATCTCCAGGAAAGCAGGGCTCCATCACGCATAACGGTGACTTGGGAAGATAAACGCCATCACTCTGAACGTTCTCCCCAGCTTTACATGCTGAGCATGATGTCATATGGTCTGGAATATCCCTTTGGTTAGTTGGGGTCAGCTGTCCCAGCTGTGTCACCTCCGAACTTCTTGTGCACCCCCTGCCTACTTGCTAGTGGGGGTAGGGTGAGAAGCAGAAAAGGCCTTGACTGTGTGTAAGGACTGCTCAGCAATAATGAAAACATCTCTGTATGATTAGTACTGTTTTCAGCAGAAATCTAAAACATAGCCCCATACTAGCTACTACGAAGAAAATTAACTGTATCTCAGGCAAAACCAGCACAAAAGGGTTTTGCAGGGTAATGCTTTCCTTTTGATTTTATATATTTGGAACTTTTATGAAAAAGCAATTTTTTGTGGGAATGCAAAATTTTTCATGAAAACTTTCTGGTTTTGCAAGACAACTTTTTGAAGCAGAAATTTCTTTGAGCACTGATATGCAGGAAAGACAGTTTTAAGGAGATTCATTGATTGCTTGGTTTTCTTTGACTGCTTTGACTACTATGATTTGGGAATTGAATTAGGAAAAGGCAACCACCATCAAGTATGCTTTGAGATTCCAGTACAGCTGTTGAACAGCAGCCATTTCATTTGCTGACTAGAAGAACTCTGTAACTTGATGTCATTCTGTAATGTGAGTTGTATGTGCAGTACTGTTCTTTCTGCCTCATCATACTCAGTATCCAGAACTGAGTAGTGTAATATCATATTCTACTTAAAATGTTTATAGGTTAAAGTCTGTTTTGTTAGGCATGAAATGTAGTAAGGAAGAATTGATGTTACTGATACATAAATAAAACTTAAGCTTCCTTGGTTTTTCTGAGTTACTCCATTTGTACATAAGAATAAGAGAGACATCATACTCCCTCGCTTAAGGTTTAATGTATCTGAATGAAAGTATTGGTCCAGTAGTGCTCTTATTCCAGTGTTCTGTTCCAGCAGAATATTGGAATAAGAATCTCCTCAACTAGCATTAAAAATACAGGCTTTATTAACTTGTTGCCCGGGAACTAAAAATTTTTTTAATTTAATTGGTTTGTTTTACTATTTTTAGCAAAATTATGGAAAGAAGAATATCTATAATCTTAATGAAGATGAGGAATTGACTCATTATGGCCAATCTTTGGCAGAAATTGAAAAACTAAATGATATTATTGATAGTGACAGTGACACAGAAGAAAGAGGAACACTGTCAGGTAAGACATGTCAGCTAGTATCCCACTGCTGGTGTTATTGTTCGTACATGTACATCATTCATTCAGTACTGTCTTTTAATGAAAAAGAATATTATGTAATTGATTGGGATGCTTAAGCCAGATTTGATTACTTCTTAACCACACACAGAACAGCTCTCTGGATTTTAGCAGATGTTAAGTTGGTACTACCTACCTGGTAAGGTTCTTTAATCTATGGGCTTTTCAGCATACAATAGGTACCTGTATTTCGAGCCCTTTGGGCAGAATCTGAAGTGTGAGTTCTCATGTTGCTTTCTTGCACCTCTGCACCTAAATACTAGTTAAAATATTGAAAAAAAAATATGTTCCTACCT